CGGAGAAATACCACAGTCTCACAGAATACCGGCGCGAAGTGGAAGTATTATACTTTCGGGTGCCTGGTGATGGTGAGTGGTAATAGGGTCCACTTTTTAATGGTTGGCAACGGATCTGCAGCTCCTCAGGCGCTGTAGATGTCAATGGTCGGCAACCATTACTTAATATCAAGTGGACCGCCTGCTCGTTTGCCAACTTTTCACATAATTTTTTTTATTTGTAAGGTCAGGAGATGTATATTAAATTATTTCATTTAATATTAAAAGTATGTTATTGGGAATATACCTAATATGGCTGTGGCAGCTCAGTAAATGCATTTATCACAATACTTGAACAGCCAGATTTCAAATTCCGGTAGTAGCCGCGTGATTGGAAATTATTAACAGCCATAATGAGTCCCGACTTACACGCTTCCTTCGGTGAAGACAGATGAATTGAACATATATAAGAAAGTAGCTTTTCGCCCGCGGCATCGCTCGCGTTAAAGCCCTTAAATAAATAACTTTTTTTTAAAATGTACATATCTTTTAAAGTTTTTCCAATTAGAAATAGCCTTTGTCCTTTCTCAGGCTCTCGACTATCTGTGTACCAAAATTCATTTAAATCGGTTCAGTAGTTTTGGTGTGAAAGCGAGACAGACAGAGCTAATTTCGCATTTATAATATTATATTAGTAATTAGTAATATTAGTAATTAGTATCATTAGTATGGATTGTACAGGCAAAGCCGTACATTTTCTATTGTATAGCAAAACCGCGCACACGGCATATTGACACTTGCAAGCGTTCTTTGCAAAAGAAAGAGCTTGCAAAAGAATATGGCTAACCCCTTTGTGGCTGTACTTAATCTATAAAATAATGGAAAAGACGAACCCATTATACAAATAATTTTGGCGCGCTTTTCTTCTTTATTCTTCGCAAGTAAATTGGCGATGAATCCAAATGTCAGTCTAGCGGTCTTATTAGAACGATAACATTGAGAAATTTATAATAACGATGGCTGTACCTCGAAAGTGCTCGTCAATATGATCACGCCGAAACACGCATTCAGTCATGTATTATATTAATAATTTGCCTGTCTGTTTGCTTAAAGATGAGAGAGAAATTAGCCTAGCGCGTACCGACGACACAAACAGTCGACTAGTAATGTTGCTATGGACAAAATTATAATGACATAATTGTAAATATGATATAAATTAACGATATGAATGAAATGTTTACGGTAAACGCTTATTGTAAGTATGATTTATTTATAATGTTCTATAACATAAAAATGAATCCACCAAGAATTGCTTTTATTGCGGTACGTCTTTGTTATTGGAATAAACAATTACCAATGTTTATCTTTCATTAAAATAGAATGCCACCGTGAGAGTTTTCTGCTTCTCAAATAGTTTTAAGACAAAATCCATGAACAAAGCCCTCGTATACTTTACTTCTAGTGAAAACCTATTTCATAATTTAAAGACTTTTATTTATAATACGTAAAACCGATTTTTTGAATTGATGACTAAATAACTATATTATTTGAAATAAAGCGTGGTCTCTTTTAATTAAACATTTCTTTTTTTATAGGGGTGGTGAAAAAAGTATATGATTCCCGCCCAGAAGAGATGAAGAACATGCCAAGAAGATGCTGCCAAGTCTTTGAGAACTTCGGAGTTACCTGCAATAGCATAATGAAATAAAATAAAAAACTAAAGAAAAGAAAATTAAGATAATTATAAAGGAATAAATACATGTCTATACTTATGTCACAGATAAGAAAAATTTTCTAAGGCTTACCGCCTGACTTAAAAATTGTGACAAGTAAAAATAAACTTCACTCATATTTGTCTGCCCGTACAAATCTGCAACTACCAGGCCACAAATTTAAAACAGAAAGCTTTGCAAAATGCTTTATGGCAATGTGGAAACAGCAATGAAATTGAACATTTCATGTAAGGGCAAAAACGACGAATAATTGTTTCGCTGACCCTACCGTTCGGCGCACTTCACGCCCGAGTATGTTGACCGTTCCTACAATACTTATATTTGCGCACGGCTCGGCTACCGCATTCCGCCTGCCGAGCAAATATTGTAAGAAGCTTTGTGCCTTTCGTTGTACGGGTTTTTTTGCTGTCCCTACATGCTTCACCGACTAGTGGATAAACCGAAATGAACATTGAGAGGGTTCGTCAACAGTCGGCGCCGGCCAACTTTATAATGCGACCAATGATCTCTAATTCGGCGGTGATTGAAAGAGATCTGTGGTTTGTCACCAATATAACATATAAAAATAGTTAGTGCTTCATACAAACTATAGCTACTAACTAAACTATAGCTACTAACTAGCCGTTGATTATCTCTTTATATAATCATAATATGATTTATATTATAAAGAGATAATCAACAGCGCAAACCCTCACATAGTATGTTGACCCTAACAGGCAGGAAAAAAGTGATGCTATTAACGTGGGAATAACTTAATTCAGTCTCATTCGATTTGAATAATTAATGCCGATATACCTCAATTCACTCTTCGGTTTCCTCACTCACTAGAATAAACGCGATTGCCCAATACTAACACCTCACACCGGTCTTTTATGAGGTCCTAGTACTTCCACGTACCTAGTTCCTAGTACGTCCATGCTCATTCATGCAACAATAGAAACTACTGTGTTTCCCTACATATATACCCATAGACGATGTTTTTTTTTTTTTTCTCTTGGATAAAGAACGATACCTATAGGATAGATCGTTTACATCGTAGTTAAAGCCAATAGATGATCCATGAAGTTGAAATCACGCAAGCGAAACTGAATCAACTAATTTATTTCACGTATCGATAGTATCTTGAACACATTACACCTTAATTATGTATAATACACAGTTTATTTCTTCGATATTATCTATTTTAATGATCGATGTGAATTCACTTATCAAATTATTATAAATACATCTTAATCCCTGAGTTAAGTGTAATTAATTACAATTGTTAAGTTAGAATGTCACCCCACTTATTTTGTATAAACGATTCGGATTCCTTTTAGGTTACGATTCAATAAAACAGTGTTGACGGTATTCTGCTAAGCACTATAAAATAACCGTAAATTGAAACCGGACCATAAGCTGACCATAAACACATCAGGTATATCGCGTGTTTTGATACAAAATCAACATTATCTTTGAATGCTTTCTTATTTACTAAATAACTGTATTGAGTATTTATTAAACATAAGACCGAGCGTGCTGATAAAATGCTCCTAAAACTTTTAGCACAATCAAGTTCGAAGCAATTAAAATTCAATACACGAAAGAACCTACGACCGACTGCAGAGTTTAAAGAATCGATTTTTCGCGACCTACCCCAAAATTGACGGCCCAGATATCTAATTACTCGATGGCGTAAATTCGGCCCGCCCTGGTATTGATTATGGGCGACCTTGGTGGAAAAAAATTAAGTCAAAGGCCGACCCAATTCCTCCTGGCCCCCCCTCAGTTAGCACGCCGTTCATTGCCAAGTTTACATTAAAGCAACCGACCGCTCCGCGCATTAAGCCGACAATAAAACCGGCGTTGCGTAGTTGAGAAAAAGCTCTTTAATGAGACGGACGAGTCTGGGGCGTTTAAGAAATGTTGAGGTTCTCGCGCGTTTTGATACTTTTACTCATTTAAAGTTCTTTTTTGTGCTATCATTTGAAAGCAGAGATGGTGGCAAGCGAGTGTGCGATTCACCTGATGTTAAGTGATACTTGCCGCCCATGAACATTTGCACCACCACATTTTTTAAACTAATAAAAAACAAACTACTTTTCTACAAATTTTAATGATAAAAACAGTTTAAATGAATTATGGATTACGATCATCTGAATACTGTAAATAATTTGAAAACAAAAAATTTCATACTATATATAGTTGTACAATGTAAAAAAAAATTTAATACTGTACGAAGGAAAATCTGTTCTCCTACTTCATATGTTTCTACATAGTCAATTTATAAAATATTAAAATTTATTTTACCATGATCAAGACTACTGGGCCGTAGAATGATTAATAAAAAAGGAATTAAAAAGGAGTTCGAATCAACAGTCGCGTGCCCCAGAGGCCAATGTCCTTTAGACAACATCGTCCCCTCTGATGCCATCTTCCGTCCCTCTCTAATTAACCATTTAATCCGTGCCGCCGTCCCTTTCTAAAAGAGGGATGCTAATATCGCGTTACTTAATATCCCGTCGGGATGTTCGTACAATAATTTTGGAAATACGGACTCCTTCAGCAATTTGTCATACTTTTCGCCCCGCTGCTACAGCAATAAACTCAGATCTCTTACCCCAAATATATATACAGACAGACAGAGATATCAATTCTATAGCTATAAGCGATATCTGTATACCTAATTAAAGTTAATTAAAATCATTCGGCACATACGAAAGATCCATTGAAAGAAATAGTGTATTGATGGATGGACATTTAAATAAAAACCAGAAAATAATACGATTAATTAAATGGTGAAACTAATAGATTACGCAGTACCCCTGTCGAAAATATGTGGAGTAGTGGAATAAGCGTTCCTGGGCTTTTAGGCACATGTAAGCCCCTAATAGCCTTGTTGTGGCGCAGATCTGCTGTTGCAAAACAACCCCCAAACGGCACAAGGCGCGACAATTTCTGGAAAACGTCGGCCGGCGAGCGCGTAACAGTATTTCGCTGCTTACATCTTAATAGCCCCCCGCGTGATATACGCGAAACGGGTGTCCGACGTCGCAGCCGGCAATAAAAGTGAAACATGTCGAAAAATATCGCTAAGTAGCGCACGCCCCTAATGTCTTCCAAGCGGGCGCACACGGCGCGCCGTATCGGGGAATTTCCATCTGAATATTTTCCTTTCTCATTGTCGTTATCTGAAAAATATGTTTTTCGTGCGGCCCGCGCCCGGCCCGCCGCGGGGGTGTTTCTCACTGCAGTTCAATAACGCCGTAAGCGCCCCGAAACCAATTAGCGAATTGTATCGTAACATTAATGGGGTTCGGTTCGAAATCTTTCGGCCGGCGTTTTCGCAACGCGCCGAGGAAAAATAGTTGCGGGCGCGCCGAGCGACCTACGCTGCTATTCCGTCGGATAGGGCTCACTTTCGTCTGCACCGCCGACGGGTGGCAGGAGGAATATGGAAACCGGAAGCCCGGGTGGCAACGCGGAGGGGCAAATGGACGGAAGAGAAGCGAAGGCAAATAACTTCGCCCCACTGTACACACGTATAGAAGTATGGAGGGCGCACAAAAATGCCACCAGCCCGGCCCGAGTTTCACAATGAAACGTTGAGTATTTTTATCATTTGTCGTCATAAAATCCGCCGTCTGAGGAGCAGCCGGCTACGAAATGCTTCCGCGTTTATTGCGTCGCTGGGCCGCGAATGAGACGTTATGAGAAATATATTAAGCCGAACGCTCCGCTTGATAAAACGCTTAATTTGCTTCATGTGCCAGCTTCATTAAAAACGTATGGGGAACGGCACTCTGAGTTGATTGTAGTTAAAGTGTCATATCAGGTACGCTTGAATCAGTCCCGCTTGGATATAATAATTATTAGTATTGATGAAGTCGATTTAGTTTTATGAGGTATAACATAAAATATCCATTGTGTACTATACGTTTCTTTGGTAATCGAAAATAAACGATCGATGAATCGACTTATTGACACTGATACTTATTTATTAGAGAAATTTTTCACAAATGTTACTACTTTTTTATTTAATGTAAATAAATGTAATGTACAATGTAGGTTATTAATATATATTAATATTTATAGTTAACTGGCAATGGACAAAGGGTTAAATTAATGTCCTATAGTCGCCTTCTTCTTTTAAGTATGTTAGTGAATTATAATTACTATGCATGTATTATTTTAACATTACAACTAACATGAATTCTGGAATCTTATAATGGCTGTAGTCAATGGTAAAAAACATTTATTTATGCTATTAACCTCAAATTTTTTTGTTTCTAAGTATAGACCTATTTTCAACTGTTTAGTACTATAATGTTGTCAACGCATCTGTAACCCTCGCATGTAGCAGATGTCCATGGGCGGTGGTATTCACTTAACAACCACCTGCTAGATTGGCAATTTTTCACATAAAAAAAAAATAGTGACTGAGTGTTCACATAAACACGAGTTTCCCGAATATGTACAACACAGTCCGTAACTCATACTTATTACGTGTTGAAATAGAAGTTTCGTGTTGTAATCTCAGCTATCATGTTGTTACTTACCAAAACCGACTATGTCAAATGAAAAGTAATAGAAGCAGGTAACAACATTCGAGATTAGAATCCTTGCTTAATATCGGTGGCGAAATTCCCTTTGTGGTCTTGGTGAATTCTTCGACGAGCGGAGAATCAAAGCACCGAATAGCGAAAGTTGGACGCCCTTTGAGCGGACCCGTTATTATTTTCTCAAGAACCTCTTTTATGTAAAGGAACGCTTCAGATGCGTAGGGTGGTAAAGGGAAAAATATGACGAGGAGCGGCTATACACGCGTCCCTGTCGAATGCGTCGCGTCAGAGCGAGAACGCGGCTGGCGACGTGGAGAGCTTTTCATGTCAAGAGTCTCCATACACTGGCACTCGTTACATCGTGGCCTCGGGGACGTTGGGAGCATTTTGACAAGTATTTTTTTTTCTTTCTCCTTCCACGGAAAACGTGGCCGGCCATGCCGACAATGCCCCGAGCCCTTAGCGCAATCCGTTGTCAACAATAATGAGACGAGAGTTGCCATCGCTTGTTACTGCGACGGAGCCACCCACTTGCTCCACGAATTGGCCTCGCGTGGGCCGCAAATGACTCTACGTGCGCCATCATTCGGTTTACGCCTCGCCTGGTCAAGGTGCTTTCACATATCTGACGATCACAAACTATAATCACAACTCGTAAAGACGAGTAAGAGAGCTTTTTAGTGCAAGGAGCACGGAGAGTCAATTTCATAACTGTGTAATAGCTAAATTTTACTCGACACTTCGCTTACATAGCAAGTCAATAAGTTATCTAATTTTTGAGCCCACGTAATCACCTCTATTAGAAGTTTCATTTAAATCAGATCCATATAAAACGAGATACCGAGCGAACAGTTGCATTGACAAATTCATTAGGAGGATCTTATCTTGCACCTATACGATGTAATTAAGAGATTTCACCCAAATATCTATTTTGTGGCATCTACTGATTTACATATGTTTGTATGCATGGCAAGTCATAAATTAAAAAACAAAAGCGGTTCCAATATCAGTATTAATATGCTGTCCAGGGCGAACACGGTCGCTTCGAACATCATAACAAACATATGGGCAGTTAATTTAGTTGACTTTATAGATGATTGTGAGATTTAGTTGCAATGTGGAATTTGTCATAAAAATAGAACATTTGTCTTGTTTCATTCACTTGATATTTTTATTAGATAATAAGTATCTCCTGTCAACCTTTGTTGAGACAATTACAGCTTTCCTTTCCTATTATTCCACCGAGAAATAACATATCCTCATATATGAGTATATACTATAGTAGTAGTAAATACGATATTTTATTATATATGATAGTCAATAGGGTTATTGTATACATATGGCGTTTTTTATAGCATTATTACTTATTTACATTGCTAAGTAATGTCCTACCATATTAACATTTCCCCCTATATTCATCAACATGCAGTCATAAAAAAACATTTAAAAGCACATACCAATGCTATTAACTTAAAATCTATCCCCATAGAAGTCAATCAATAGTTAAAAATGATTCGTAATGAAATGGTTTATAATTACTTCTTATGTAATCTTTCTATATAATCTTGAGTTAACTGGTGGAGAATGCTTTTGAATGTAATATAATAAAATTAGTAATAAAGCATAATTAATAATAATTAATAATCTATTCTGTAATTATCCATAACTATTTAATTGAGTCCGAGGAAAAAATCGAGCTGACGTGTAGTAAGAACAATAAAAACAATAAAATAATCCGGAGGAATGCACATTTTCCTCAAATTAAAATAATTTAGATCTTGTTCTGTAATTTTTGTGCGAATAAATTTGAGATAGAGACTTGACGGTTGCTTCACATAAGAAAGCTGCGCTTGATCTTTTTATATCTGGTACTGCGAAGAGATGATGGTGGTTATTTGGAAGCATCCTATCGGATTTGGAGCATCCTATCGGCTAGCAAAAGCTGGCTTTAAACCCCTTCTAGAGAAAACTCGACAAGCTCCTCACAAATCGATAATGAAGGCATCACCCGAAGGTTTATACCCAGCGAGCCCTATCAATAAGCCTTATATAACGCTTTGTGAAGAATTAATAGTATAAATAGAATTTACATGCTTATTTTTTTATCAAAGAATATAAATATCTTTTAGGTTAAATTTCTTTTTTTAATCTATTTCTAACTTAGTCAATGCCCAAGCCTGTAACTGTGAAAGACAGAACAGGTTAATGATTTCTATTAACGTGAAAAGAAGAGAGAACATAAACGCACTTTGTTTAACGATATAATATTGTTATAACAATTTTATAATAGTTCAGATATAATCATATATAAAATATTCATTAGTTTTACCTGTTAAAAATTTTAACAATACGTGGATTTCCTGTCGCAATATTATTCTCGCGTCTCCCTCATTACGAGGCAAATCATTACTCTGTGAAATCGTATGGAACGGCAAAAGAGGGATTGTTATTCGAAGCACTTCAGAATTATTCCTATTAACGCGTACATAAAGTATATTATCCCTTAACAGATTATGATTAAACGCGTTCCCGACGGCGGCGGTGTGAAAAATATACGAATATCGAGAAAATGAAATAACTGCTGAGAGCTAAAACATTCTTAATAACATGCACAATTTTGCCTACTAGACACACACTAAAGTAAGCATACTGCTCAATTTTAAAGCAGAATATAAAGAAAAACGTCTTTAAATAAAGTTGAGTTGGCAAACTAAGCCATACTATCAACATTTATTAAAATTTAATTTTAATATTTCGAGCAAAAACAAGTTAAGCCTTCGAATATTTTCGTTTTCAGTCAAGTTTTAGGTAAAGCTTGATTACCCAGAGCCTGTAGTTGGCTAAAGTTCCTACAGCTATTACTGATAGGAAAGACTACCCTCGTAAATCTTATGAGTATTTTTACATATTCGACACCCTATTGATGGAAACAAATTTTTGTTTGATAATTTAGAACATACGTACTTACATAACCGTTCTACCCGTTAATATTTATTATTGTTTTACTTCAGACCCATCTCAAGACATTTCGGCAGAAATTAAGAAATAAGTAATATGCGTTTCTTTCTATAGAATTTTATAAAACAGCGGACGAAGACAGAAACTAAGGACAGCGTGAAGACTTTTCATTAAGATTTGTTACAAGAGGAAATAAACATTTTTAATCCTAGCTAATTCCTTATTGATATTCCTTCATACGGCCGTATATATTCCACATTGTCATTTTTAAACGATCGAAACGAGGCGCGAATGGAAGCCATCGTGGGAGATTATCTAAGAACGTCTTCTCCAATAGTAGCCGAGTTCGGGAAAATTCGCCGATTTTTCCTCCTTATTACCCGCCTACATATCACCCTACCCCACACGTGCTCCCTTATGCGAATTCTTTAACATATGTGAACAATACTCAAGAATGTCGCAACAGCCAATTGCATGTTTATCGATAATCGACCAAAACTTGGTACGAAATAGGATTTAAAATTGCAACTTTTTGTTCTGACTGTATGTTTATCGAGGAACTTATAGCATAAATCCTACGTATGAAGAATTCTATATATTTCCTTTGTTCTATGTGATTTAAAAATACTGTTGGATCCGATATCGAAGGGAAGATTTTTAGATATCCCGTTATTGCCGGCTTATAGAAATCTGATGAATCGGAAATATAATTAAACTTATTAATAACAAAATGGTGTAAATAAGGTTTACATTCTCATAACTGCACAAAAGAAATCATAATGCGAAATCTCAAAAAAATGACGTATTACGTAGTGCAGACAATAATTATAATTACCAAGCGTCAGTTTGAACACTTTAATATAAACAAGTCGCAATTTTTATTAAAGGACAAAGTTATTTGTCCAAAAAGTAGGAGTGGTATTTCGCTTAGCACCGATCGCATGGCTAGTCCAAAAATTCGACCTCGCGTTAAATGGCCTGCCATATCAATATTTCACT